AACCCTGACCCTACTGAGGGCTGAGCTGCCCTCCCTGGACTTGGGACTACTGGAAATGTGGCTCAGAGGAGGAGGAGAAGGGGAAGGAGAGGAAGGAGGAGGAGAAAAGAGGAGGGAGAGGAAGAGGATGAAAGAGGAAAGGGAGGGGGTGGAGAAGGAGGGAAGGAAGAGGGGAGGAAAGGGAAGAGGGCTGTTGTGTCTCCAGAAGGACAGGCCAAAGGATGTGTAGGGAATTGGGCAAGGGCGTCCAGTGGGCTGAGGCCAGCATAAAGTGGGATCGCACCTGACACTGGCATGGTTCCCAGCATAAAGGGCTCAGACCCTGGGCCTGCTCTTCTGGAGCCCTCCCTGGGTGGAATCCTGCCTAGGCACTGGAGGGTGGCAGCAGGACTGAGGGCCTCCACGAGATGGGAGAGACATGGCCCACCTTCCAGGGCTTCTTGGCACTGCCCGGCTGTCTATCCCCCTAAAGACTGGCCCCATCTTGAACTTGGGCAAAAGTGGGAGCTTCCTGTGCATGGGATGGCGCTTGGCCCCCGCGTGGCCCCCACTGTGTCCCATCACTCACTCTTCCCCAATCTCTTTGGCCCCTTTCCAGATAGAATTGGCCCTGGGCCAGCGCTGCAGGTCAGTCCCTCTACAATCAGCCCCCCTCCCCCCCCGCCCCGTGGCAAAGCTGGAATTGCGCCCCAGTCCTCTGACGACTCCGGATCCAGCAGCTTTCTGAGACCACGCTGCCCTCGCCCAACATCCCTCAGAGAGATCTGGGAAGAGCGAAAGGAGAAGCCAGCGGGAGCGAAATCGGAACCGTGTCTCAGAGTCAGGGCGGGGCCGATGCTTGGACCCAGCAATACGGAGGACCCCAAACAGACGAGACCAGGACCCTAGGTGTACAAAAGGAGTCAGGGGGCTCTTTTCGTTGTAACAGAACTGGCAGCACAGGGGTGCCCAAAGCATGTCTTATGAAACTGATGAAAGATTACTGACCTCTGGGAAAGGGGGAAGGGTGGGCTTCAGGACTGCCAGACAGCATTTGTATAAACTGAGAAAGGACAAGGGTGGGCCCAGGAGCACGGTCGGTCCAGTGACCGCCTGGATGGCGGACACAGCCCCTCTGAGGGACTTCGGAACGAGCCCAGCACCCCAGCTGTTGGAAGAGGCAGCCGCCTCGGGGGCGCAAGGGGCATGCTAGGGGCGGGCTATCCAGCTGCCCATGGGTGGGTTTGCTTCTTCTGCTAACACAGGCCTCCTGGGGAGGCAGGTGGTGGGTATCCAACCCGGTGTGGGGTGGGAGGGCGGGGAAGGAAAAGAGAGAAAATTGCATCCACACCACATTAAAAAGCCACCCAGAAGAGAGGGCAGAAGGGAGTCCCGGTGGCCCCAGAAAAGCAAGGCAGGTTCTGTTACTATTGCTTCTAATTCAATATACACTTTAAAAAAACCAAAAAACTATGTAGGAGAAATTCAAAATTTCATATAGAAAGAAAATGCTTATACAACACCTACTACGTGCTGACCACTGAGCTAAGCTCCTGCAATTACTATCTCATTTGATTGTCACAACGATCCTGGCATGGGCACCAGCCCCTTTCTACAGCTGAGGACTTCTGGGGCAGAGTTAAAGTGACTTGCCCGGGGCCCCACAGCTAGCCAGTGTCTGACCCTGCATTTGGACTCAGGCCTTCCACATCCTGGGCCCAGCACTCTGTGTGCTGTGCCATCTCAGTGTCTCCTTTATGGTCAGGACTCTATATGGAAATGTTCATAGCTGTTGGTACTAAAAAACTAAAAAAATTTCTTAAAAAAATTGAGTGCAGGTTCCTAAATCTAAGCCTGCAGGATTTTCTCCCCAACCCCCATCTCCCAGCCTCCTTTGCACAAGGTCACCACAGAATTCCTACCTCCAGAGGCAGGGGGTAGATCTCTGGATCCATGGGGAAAGGCCAGGCCTCTGTGGGAGGGCCCTTCTGCCTGGGAACCCTGAGACTCACTCCAGTGTTTGAGCAGGACCCAGTGGACAAGGTGTGACTTTGAGCAAAGCACTGGATTCAGGGTCAAGGCATCTGGGGTCCAGGCTCAGCTCGGACACACGGCCTTGAACACAGGTGGGCAGGGGATAGAGGGCTGGGCCTGGACGCAGGCACTTCCTAGCTGTGTGACCCTGGGCAAGTCGCTTTGTTCTCTTTGCCTCAGTTTCCCCATCTGTACAATGAGCTGGAGAAGGGAATGGCAAAGCCCTCCACCATCTCTTGGTCTCTTTCATTAAGGAAGGACAAACAACAACCTTTAGTTTCTTCCTCTGTAAAAAGAGACCTTTGGATTCCACGGCCCCCAAGAAGATTGGGGCTCTGCGTCTCCAGGCTTGAAGGGTACAAATTCAGCCCTTAGGTGGGCAGAGCCAGAGCAGCAGGTACAGCTAAGGGGCGGGGACAGAAGGGCCTCCAGGTCACTTAGGAGAGAACTGAAGACACGGGGAGCTAGTGCGCTGGCTGTCTCTCTCTCTTTCCTGTTTCTCTCTCCTTCCTCTCCATCTCTCTCTCTCTCACCACCCTCTCTCTCCTCCTCCCTCCCTCCTTTCCTTTCTCTTCTTTCTCCTTCCCCTCTCTCTGCCCCTCCTTCCACTTTGTCACTCTCATTCTCTCTTTTCTTTCTCTATCTCTCTTCTCTCTTTTCTGTCTGTCCATCTGTCTCTGTCTCTGTCTGTCTCTCACACACTTCCTGTCACATACACACACACTTGCAAGTGGAAGACTCTCTGTTTACTTCCCCAAAGGGATCCCCACCCCCCCTCCATGTCTGGAGAGAAAAGTAGAACCAGGCTCAGGCTCAGAGATGGAGGGGCTGGGGTAGCAGACCCAAAGACCCCTCAGAACAACTTTTTAAAAAATTTTCACATTAGTTGTGTTGCAACGAAGAATTAGACCCAATAGGAGGAACCACCAGAAAGAGGAAACAAAACAAAACAAGAAAAAAAAAGAGCAAATATGCTTCGATCTGCATTCAGACTCTGTAGTTCTTTCTCTGCATGTGGACAGCATTTTCCATCATGAGGCCTCTGGAGATAGATGTCTTAGGTCCTTGCATTGCTGAGAAGGGCAGAGTCTGTCAATGTTAGTCATCGTCATCGCACAATGTGGCTGTTACTGTGTACGACGTTCTCCTGGTTCTGCTCACTTCACTCGGCATCGGACCATACAAGTCTTTCCAGGTTATTCTGAAGCCTGCCTGTTCGTCATTTCTTTTCTTTCTTTGGATTTTTTTTTTTTTTTTTTGGAATATGGCATCTGATTTTATTCTTGACAATGTTCAGGTGGTTTTACAACAAACTTATGGAAACACATTAAAAGTTACCTAAACTTGTAACGAGGAGCTTGGTGAGAGATAGCCTGGAGCTCTCTGCTGGCTGTGCCCCAAGTACTTGTGAGGTATTTGCAACGTGCATGGCAGTAATGCTCTGAGCTTTTATGATTTTGAATTTCTTTTTAAACGGAAGTGTTTTGTACATTTCTTTTCAAAAAGTGCCAAATTTGTCAGTATCGCATGTAAATAATTGTGTCGATTCTTCCACTGTAGCATAGGCTCTATTTACAAAATGTTTGTTTATGAGGTTTTATGGATTTTTACAGTGAAGTGTTTACAGCTGTTTAATAAAGAACTGTGTGCATATTTTGTATTGACTTTTATTCTGTGAATCTTTAAGTGTCTGCCCCTCTTTATTTTTCTCTTAGGCCAGGAGCTCTCACAACGTGCACTTAAAATAACTCTGCTTAGATTTCTCCCCTTTACCTATCTGCTAAGTAGCACATTTGTTTTTCAAAGCTTAGTTGACTCTTTACTAAACAATAAGGTCTGCTCCTCATTTCTTATAGCACAATAGCATTCCATTACATTCATAGACCGCAACTTGTTCAGCCATTCCCCAATCTATGGGCAGCCCCTCAATTTCCCATTCTTGGTCACCACAGAAAGATAAATATTTTTAAATATTTTATTAAATTATATTAAATATTTTATGCTATAAATATTTTTGTACATGTGGGTCCTTTTCTCGTTCGTATGATCTCTTTGGGATACAGCCCTAGAAGTGCTATTGCTGGGTTAAAGGATATGCATGGTTTTCTAGCCCTTTGGGCATAGTTCCAAATTGCTCTCCAAAATAGTCGGATCATTTCACAACTCCACCAACAATGCATTAGTGTTCCAATTTTCCCGCATCTTCTCTAACATTTACCATTTTCCTGTTTTGTCATATTAGCCAATCTGATAGGTGTGAGGTGGTACCTCAGAGTTGTTTTGATTGGCATTTCTCTAATCAATAGTGATTTAGAGCATTTTTTCATATGACTACAGATGGCTTTAACTTCTTCATCTGTGAACTGCCTGTTCATATCCTTTGACCATTTATCAATTGGGAAATGGCTTGTATTTTTATAAATTTGATTCAGTTCTGTATATATTTTAGAAATGAGACCTTTATCAGAGACACTGATTGTAAAAATTTTTTTCCAGTTTTCTGCTTCCCTCCTAATCTTGGTTGAATTGACTTTGTCTGTGTAAAACTTTTCAATTTAATGTAATCAAAATAATCTATTTTGCATTTTGTAATGTTCTCAATCTCTTGTTTGGTCATGGATTCTTCTGTTCTCCATAAATCTGATGGACAACCACTTCTTGAGGGCCTAGGAGGCGGACCTAGAAGCCAGAGGAGGGCTGAGAGGGCTGCAGACCTTAGATTATTTTTGCTAATTAGGTGAGAAATTTAGTGGTGTCTATGCTGATGAACTTTCCAGGCCTGGGGCAAAGTTTGCAGAGACCAGGGCCTCTCCTCAGACTGGAGGCTATACTTGGGGCCCCTCGAAGCCAGAGGCTCATGCCCCCTCAGAGTGGAGGCTCCCCAAGGCCGGGGCCTCTGCTCAGACTGGAGGCCAGGGCCTTGTCTCCCCCTCCAACACACTAACTACATCTCCCACTGTGCTCCGCGGCCCATCTGCGGACGTTGAGGTTGTCGGCCTCAGCTCTGCTGGAAACCACAGCCTGGGGCTTGCTGAAGTCCTGGGGGAGAGGAAGGGCTTGCCACCATGGGCCCCCACTGTCGGGTTCGCTTTGCTAAGTGCCAGCTGCTGGCCACCTGCTTCTTCACCCTGGTAATTTCCGTGGCTTGGGTTAGTGGGGGCCATGGGGGTGGTGAGGGTGCTGGACCAGAGGGGCCCCAGACTGGGCCCCAAAGCCTCCTAAAGTCAGAGCAGGGATCAGGGAAGGCTACAGAGGCCTCTGGCTGGACGGAGAGCAGGGCCTTATCAGGGCCGCCAGAAACAGAGTTATCACCTCCCGTCACTGCAGGCAGGAAGGTGCTGGCTCCTGGGGCCTGAGGCAGAAGCCAGGCTGAGCCTCAGGACAGAGGGAGAAGCCAGGAGAAAGGCAGAAATGGGAGCTGGGTCTGAACTGTGGGTCAGGCAGGCAGAAGCAGAGACAAAGATGTGCGGTCTGAGCCTCGGGAGAGACCAGCCCAGAGGTGGAGCAGCCCCAGAGCCAGAGCCAGAGCCGGGGCTCAGCCCAGAAAGGGACTGTGGGGTTGGGGTTGGGGCAGAGAGGCCCCTTGCACTGTTGGTATAGAATGCCCCTCTCACTAAAAGGCTCTGGAGGCCTGAGCAGCAGTGTGGGGAAGGGGTCAGGGGTCTGGAGGTGGAGGCTTCTCCATTCCTCCGCCTCGTCTTTCTCCTCCTCCCTCTTCCCTGGTACAGAGTGCCAGGCTGCCTTCCTGTGGGGGTGGGCAGCGAGCTGAAGCTAAAAGGTTGGGAGTGGAAGATGGGGTGAATTGGTCTCATCGGCCCTCTCCATCAGCGGGCACCCAGGCTCCCTGTTGTAAGGGCACCAGAGTTTATGGCGTGAGACACCAACAGGGAAGGGACATTTCCATCCTGAAGCCCCCCTGGGTTTGAGCCCACCCACTCTGTACAGGGTTAGAGATCAGCTTAGACAGTTGTCCGGGGGAAAACACTTCCTGGGAACTGGGAGACCTGGGTCCTGGCCCAGGCCCGGACGTTTCTGGTGACATGACGCTGAGGTTTGGGCTTCCCAGCGGCCCCCTCACCTGTGTTCTCTGGCACCTGCACCCTCGGCTTCTGTGGGCCCCCGCCTCCAGTCCAATACCAAGCAGCCATCCAGTTAAGGCCAAAGCCCATTGGGGTGGGAACCCTGCCCGGGACCATTTGCCTAGGTTACTCCCTCACTTGTCCACCTCATTTCTTTGTTTTTATGGCAAAGCCTCAAGAAGGAGAGGGGACGGTGGTTGCTTCCTCCCATTGTTCAGAGAGGGAAACTGAGTCCCACAGAGGTCAAGTGACTTCCTCAGGGCCCCAGCAGTGGCACAAGAAGGAGGCCAAGAGCTTCCTTCCTTCTCCATGGCCAGTGGCCTGGGCAGCCTGTTGTGGGGGAGGCCAGGGGATCCTCTCTCCCTTTGGCCGGGGCAGCCCCTCTGGGTTCCAGTAGCACCCCTCTCCAGCTCTCATCCCCCCCAACTTCTTTCTTGTGTCTCCCTCCAGCTCCTGGGCCTCTCCATGGGCTTCCTGACCATCCTCACCCGATTCGGGGACCGCTTTGTCGTCATCCACAGCATCTCCCCAGAGGATGACCCCTATGGGCCCATGCACCACTGGGGTGAGTGCCCCCCATCGGCACCCTGCCTGGAGAATCCGTCCTGGGTGCACCAGAGATCAATTCTGACCCTGAGCAAGTGTCTTCTCTGATGGCCTCAGTTTTCCTTTCTGTAAAATGAGGGAATTAGGCAGGGTGACATCTGGGGTCGCTTAATAAGAATTAATTAAGTAGCTGTGTGACCCTGGGCAAGTCACTTAACCCCGATTGCCTCACCAAAAAAAAAAGCAAAAAATAAAAAAGAATTAATGAAGAATTGGGCTCCAATTGCACCCATACCACTTGGCCAAGCTCCTACCCTTTCTCTGTGCCTCAGTTTGCTCATCTGTAAAGTGAGGCATTTGGACTCAAGCTCTCATATCTTTTTCTGCTCTACATCCTCTGATTCTGTGACCACACCCTAGTGACTTTTTCCTGGACCCTTGGGCTCCAGATACCTGGGATGCTTGATCCTCCTCAGGAGGCCTGGCCAGCTCTGGGCCTGGCCACCCCTCCAGTTTCAAAGACACAGACTGGCTTCACCCAGCAAGTTCTGGATTTTTTTTTTAAGGTTCTGGGGTTTCGAGGAAACTGAGGCACAAAGTGGAGACAGGGTTTGAATGAGGGGCGGCACGATGATGTTTTGCAAAGACAAAGCGATAGCAGCTACTTCCCGTATGACTTAGGAAAAGTCTGGGACTCAGTTTCCCTACCCGTAAAATAAGGAAGTTGAACGGGACAGCTTCTCGTTTCTGCCAGTTCTGACATCCTGGAGTCCATCCTAGGAACTTGGGTCTCCTGGGCCTCCTCAGATGCCAAGCTGCTCCTCTCTTCTGGGAAGGGTTGGAGCCAGGGCACCCCTGAAGGGTGAGGGTTTGGTTAGGAGGCTAGGAGTTTGGTTAGAGAAATGAGAGCCTTCAGGGGGAAGCAGGCGGTCAGGACAGGACGAGGGTGAGGGGCCAGGCATCAGCAGCCAGGACTTGTTTGGGCTGGCCTGGCTGGAAGAGAACAGCGAGTCACGGCCTGGGCCAAGGAGGCCCCTCGGGCAGCGCGGCTGGCAGAGCTTCTGGGGGGGATGCGGGAGGGGCGCAGCTGCAGACCAAGAGGAGAGAAGCTGACTCTGGGGGACACCCAGAATCTGCCACTTAGTAGCTGTTGGCTTAACTCCTGAGCCTCAACTTCTTTATCTGTCAAGTGGGGGCAAGAACACTCTCTCAGGGTTGTTCTGAGGAAAGCTTTCTGTGGCTCTGAAGGAGAGTCGGTGCTAGAACAGATGGTGAAACTGAGGCTGAATGAACTTGCCCAGGGGCTGGGAGACTCTGTCCCCCCCCTGGAGCCCCTTCCCCTGACTGTCCTCCCCCAGGAGCCCCTTCCCCTGACTGTCCCCCCAGGAGCCCCTTCCCCAGTCTCTCTCCTCACCCCCACCCTAGGAGCTCTCTCTCCTGACTGAAATTTCTCCCTGTCCCCTGGCCCACAGCTTTCTCCCTGGGTATCTTCCTGACCTCGATGCTGACCCTGGGGGTTGTGCTGAGCATCCTAGGTGTGGTGCGGGAAGCCAAGGGCCTCATGGCTGGGGTGAGTAGCCAGGGATTGGGCGGCTGGGTCCCCGGGGCAGCAGCTCCTCTGTGAGTGTCCAGACAAGAGTGGATGGACCCCTTGACTGAGACAGGAGCCTGAGATGACTGACCATGGGCCAGGCCCTTCCCTTTCCCATCTTGGTTTCCTCATCTTTAAAATGGGGGTGATAACAAAGGTTCCGACCCCTCCCCCACCTCAGACCCTGAGAAGGTGGGGGAGCGGAAGGCGGGGGGGCAGGGTGCAAAGGCACCAGAAGCAGGATGGAGCCTGGCCAGGGACTCCCACAGATGGCCTCCCCTCCTCCACAGCCCCCAGGGCCCCAATTCCGAGTCAATGGGTGGAGGGGACCGTGGCTGGGAGGAGTCCTTAAGGGGTCTGGCCAAACCTGTCCTCAAACAAGGCTGATGACAGTAGCTGGGTTTTACGGGGCCTTGGAGGTTTGTGAAGCTCTTTTCCTGTGTTCTTCTGTCTGGTGGCCCTCCAGCCACGGGGAGCTCACTGCCTCCGGACCGCCTGCCACCTTCTGATCATTCTGACCGTTAGAAAATGTGTCCTTGGGCCAACCCCGGCCTCTAGTTTACAGCACTGCTCCTGGTTCTGGAGCCTGGGGCCAAGCAAAACAGGCTCCTCCTTCTTCCCTTAGACACACAAGACAGCAGCCAGGCCCTGCCCCGAGTCTTCCAGCTAAACCTCCATCCCCAGAGGGCCTGATTCCCAGGTCCTTCTCCTTCCTGGTCACTCCCTCTGCTTTACCAATGTCCTTCTTGAACACCGTTGCCCAGAACCAAGCCCAGCTGTGGCAGGGTGGGCCTTGAACAGTAGAGCCGGTGCCTTACTAGGTACAGACCCCCTGCCTCTCTCTATCCGCTTCCTTCACTGCTGGGGTACACTCTGGTTCAGACGGAGTCATCTCTTAGAGGGGAGCCGCTGTCTAGCCAGGCCTCCTAGACTTGCACTTGTAAAGTTGATGGTTTGAACCCAGGAGCAAAACTTTACGTTTGTCCCTATTGAATTTCATCCTATCCCATGTAGCCCAGTGCTCCAATCCCATGAGCAGTGGGGCCTCATGCAGCAAAAACACTCCTGAGTGCGGCCCAAACCTAACTGAAACGTAAATGGGCAATATTTAACAAAATAAGTGAAAATGCCATAAAACACAGATAGTGTCACATTTAAGAACTAAGTTAACATGCAGCCCCCGGGGATCTGATTCTGGCTTGGTAGCCCCTGGTTTTGTCTGAGTTTGACATCCCTGATCTAGTCTGTCCAGGTCTTTGTGTGTCTTGACCCTGTGCCTCAACATTAAGTGTCTAAGGCTCAGCTTAGAGCCCTAGGTCCCTCCTACCTATCTACCAATACTGGTTATTCTGAGTTCAGACATTCATCTACACAATTGTACTATATCCTGATCCTATCTCCCCATCTTGTCCACAAGGAGAGCTTTGCCAAATCACAGAATATCCACCTGTCAAGTCACCCTGCCCAAAAGGGAAATGAGGCCAGTCTGAAATTGTCCAGCCTACAATAAAAGAAACTGAGGCAGAGCTCAGCTCCATGGCCCCCTCTAATGAAGCGGACCTCAGAAGTTCCTCACGATCTGAGATGCCCCCCTTCCTTACTCAGATAATACAGAAGAGGCACAGTAACACCCAGGCTCATTGATTGATAGACGTGTATCTTGACCTTCCAAGAGACCCTGCAACTTGTGCTTGTGATAAAGTAGCCGATAGAAGATGTCCAAATAGCCTGGTCTTTCACTGGCTTCCCACTGGGCAATGGATTGGGGAATCGATTTCCAGAGAGCTCCAGCAGACAAGTCACGCACTCCTAGGGCCCGTTGGCCAAGAGCCATAGGGCCCTTTCCCTAGCCAAGGGACAGCAAGGGTGGATATACAATTCAAAACAGCTGGGGGACTTTCCACATCATTGAGTCAAGCACGTCCCACCACCCTGGGTTTGGCCATTCACTCATCAGGTGTTACTTAAGCAAGTGGATTCACTAGATTGGCTAACGCTAGGACGAGAGCAATAATCACCACCCCTACGGAATCAAATTCAACTAAATAATGCTAACTGGAAATAAGCCAGGGGTCTAAATCAAGTGGGGGTCCATACCAACCATTTCCCGCCCTCTCCAACAAACTAGCCTTGAGCTCCACAAGTTCACAGGTGGTATAGACACGCTCACTGCTTGGTGGTTCACCCTCTCTTGAGCCCAGGGCCCCTCTTCTCTTTGGCCTGTGCCCCCGTTAGCTGAGCCCTTCAGGGAGCACCACTCAGCCCCCAGTGCCAGCCGGGGTCTTCCAGCACCCCAGGAGGCAGTTGGTGGGGGCCGAGTGATCGGACCCTTCAGGGACAGCTTGGGTTTCCGCTCCCTGCTGACCAGGCATGTTTTAGCCTTCCTGGTCCAAAGAGAAGAGAAGCAGGTGGAGTGGTTCCATGATGGTATCGATCTCCATCTGCTCATCTGTCCCAGCTCAGGGACCTGTCCTTCACACGCTCCTTCTGGTGCCCTTCTCATTATCTTAAAAGAACAACCTTTTTGGCTGCTGCTGTCCTCACCGTCTGTCCCTGGCCTTGGCTCTTTCTTGGGTGGATTGCCCCACTCAGTCCTCCCAAGATGCTGCTGCTTTTTAGGATTCATCAACATTCCTGTTCCTTGGCTTCCTTCTCCTATACGTGAGCTTCTAAAATCCAAGGAGGTCCATGAATTCCCTGCCTCAACACAGCGCTCTCTTCAGGCAACACCCCCTTTTCCTCTTCCCTTGTGTCTTCTTGGGAATTTCCCATCCTTCTTGGAACAACTTCACCAGCCACATATTAATCTATGGGATGCCATCTATGCTCCCTCTGAGCCACAGCCCTGCCAAATTGGGCTTGGTGTGCCCAACAGTGCCCATGCACCCAGCCCATACTCTCCACACACCAATACTCCAAAACCCTTCAAGTCCAGTCTTCTGTAGCCTGGGAAGAGGTCAGACCGTGCTGCTCCTTCTCCAGCACAAATCCTGTGATGGTGTGGGGTCTCTCACGCTCAGAGGTATGGAGGCCACGGCAGCAACCGTCCCTCCTTGCTGGTCAGAAGCAGGTTCAGAACAACAGAATCCCTCTTGTTGCTTCCTCCACCATCCGAAGGATGACAAAACACTTGGGATAAGCCACACTCTTATCTTATTGACTGTTCTACGTTGGAGGATGGAGCAGGGAGAGATGCAAAGAGGGGAGAGAAAAAGAGAGAGGGAAGATGGAAAAACAGAAAGCTGGGAAGAGAAAGAGATGAAAAAATC